TATCTTCAAATCGATTTTCAGAATAATTTTTAATCTGTTTTTTTATATCATCCACTTCAATGTTGTCCAATATCGATTGTTTGATTTCACTTGTTTCGAAGTCAGTAGTTTCATCATCATCTTTTTTAATGTACCCTAAAGGTTCATAGTTTTTTGTTTCATTCTCTGGACTAGAATTTTGTCACCAGTGTAATAATATGAGTCGACTCCGCTGTCACCACTGTAAAATAATAGGAATGGGAGCGTTATATGAAGGTAAGGAAAAACCTGTCCCCAAATGTAATACACAATAGTTCCTCAAGGGATGCTAACCCTGCGAGCGGCTGCAAGGAATACTGGTCACACTGGTCTGGAGTGCTGGCTCGTCTTCGTGGATTTACGAGAAGATAAGGGATTTCGGGATAGGGGTAAGGACTCCTAGGTCTCAGGTCCTGTAAAGAGCAGAGGTTATGGGCTTACTTTTGAAGCCGGAGATATGCATACGCAGAATCTCGTGTTCTCCTAGTCTCTAGTGAGTCGGACGAAAGGAACATAAAAAAAACTAATTTAGAGTCAACAATATATTGAATCTACCCTGAAGTTACAAATACAATCGTTAACACGTTATTCTGCGCGTCGGGAGACGATGAAGCAAGATAGTGAAGAGTTGACAGTTGTCCTAATATAATTACACAGGTTAGTATAAAGAAATCTGTTACCTTATGTGCGTATTGGGGCTTTCAACCACGACACGTTCAGTCTTCTGGAACTCGGTCAGTTGAGGGTCTCCTCCTGCGTTACGAACTTACGAGCTGCCACAATAACCGGACTACACGCGATACTAGGCCGGATGATAAGCGTCCCCCGGAGAATTACCGACTGCCCGTACTGGACGCGTACGGGACGCTATCGCGTCCGAGCCGGAGCTCAGCAATTACTGACTGCCCATTACTGACTACTGATTACTAACTACTTCGTACCCGACGCTACCGCGTCGAAAGTACCCGGAGCAGGCAATTGATGCCTTCACGGCTACCGCCGTATCACTAATAACTCACTGGCGTCCTTAGTTCGGTTTTTATCAAATGGTGTCCTCATTGACCGGATGTAGTCCAAGGTTGCTGAATTGTAGTTTTGGCGTTATTGCTCCTATTTGGGTCACGGGTGTTGTTATTTTTTTACAACAATAGTTTCGTGCTTTTTATACGTTTAAACAATTATCAAACAATGCAATAACTAGGTCAATTTCTTTGTGTGATTTAAAATGCAAATTTTACTGTAATAATTATCCCTTATTTGATTTGGAATATATAATAATTATCTCGAATAATTATTATCTTTTTCTATGCTACTTCCTTTATTCCAACTTCTCACTCACTTGCTACGCTCATATTACATTACTCCCTACGCAAAAAAAGAAAAGGGCCGAGGGGCCTTTTTCTTTTCCAACAATAAATTATTCTACTTACATATTATTACTTATATCCTACTATATGTATATATATATATATATATATATATATATATATATATATATATATATATATATATATATATATATATATATATATATTTCTTTATAAGTCCCAATTTATATTTTATCATTTACTGTTTCTTATAGACTATTGTACAGTGGTCAGCGAATGTATCGTGCTGCCCCCGTATTGAACCTATGTGTATGACAAGTTGAGTTAATCTTGTATTAATCTTATTGAAACTTAACAAGTGAAAGAACTTTCCTAACTTATTACAATTGTTTGTGATTACATGTGTCCATTACGACAAGCGTATTCTAATTGTTCTATACGATTGTACTCGCGTTTTGCGTTTATTGGCGTATCCGTGTAGGGATTATCCGCACTTCACTCGCGTCGTCTTGGCTGTTTTAATGTCCGTTTGCCAATTCCACGTGTCGAGTTAACTATATTGATGCGTTACTGCTGCTGTCTGTTTCTATTGGTTTGTCCTTGCTGGGTGGTCGTCTCAGGTTGATACTGCTTTGCTTTGTCGCATTATACTTCTGCTACATTGGTATCTGGTATGTGTTTGCTGCATCTCTTTGTTTGGCATCGTCGTAGTACTGTATCTAAGTATAGATTTTCTATTTCTCTTTGGTAGGATTGTTCGGTGTAAAGGAATTTGCTAGTGATGTAGGTCATTAGGTCTACGTTTTGAGGTAGGAGTGGCATACTAGGATTTATTTTGTTGTTTACTAGGAAATTTATTAGGATTCGGGGTGTTCAGTTTGCCATACTTCTGTGTTCCATATTATAGCCCTTTTGTGTAGCATTAGAGCAAATATGTTTTTATCTTGTTCTACTATTACCAATTCTTTTAGTGATTGTTTATTAGTGATCTTTTCACCGTGTCCTCTGTAAAGTTGTGACAATTGACTTTCACAACTGCTATCTTTGTATTGTTTTCCATGTTATTTCGCCTATTGTAGAGTCGTATCAATCGGTAGCGGCGTATATTTCAGCATTCTTCTGCTCCTGTCTTCTTGATGTAGCTTTTTTTTTTTTTTTGGACTGAGGTGGAAAGATTCGAAATCGACTAGGGAAGGTGTCCCTAGTACTGTTGGATTCAACCATAAGGACCAGAGACATACGCCGGCGGCACGATGTCAAACTATGTGACAGAGGGCCCCCTTCGTACATCCCTGCCAGGTCGCCTACCAACTAAAACCACCCCCTCTTCGACCCGTGGTATCCCTGGACGAGTTCATTAGCGAACGAAACATGGGGATACCACGCGCAGACTGGGTTAAAGGTGCCCTTATGGCTATTTATTTCAGTTACAGCACTTACCTAAAAGCAGTAAGCGTGTAGAGACCTAGTTCCCAAGCGGAGAGAACTTAAAAAAGGGGAAAAAAGGGAAAAAGGAGGAGCTTAAAAAGGGGGGTTACCGTAGAGGGTAACATTTGGTACATTTTTGTACAGAAAAGAAAAAGAAAGAAAAAAAAAGGAATGTTTATGTTTTTTTTTTTTTATTTATTTTTGTATTTGCCCCCTCACCCAGCTTATTCGGCTCTTTCTATTATAGTCTTCCTTTTCATGATACCTGTTATATGGTTGATTATATATTCAAAATTATGGGAGAGACACCATAGGCTACTGCCATGGTGTCTCTCCCATAGTCGATGTTTAAGACCCCATTGTACAAGACATTCCACAACGTTGGGCCTAGTACAGAACCTTGCGGTACGCCGGCTGTTAGTTTCATCTCAACATTTTTGGCCACTAAGACATATCTCTCGCATAAATATCGTTTTATAATATTGATCAAATATCCCGAGACTTCAGCGGTTTCTAATTTAGTAATAATATGGTTCCAGTTGGCAGAGTTAAAAGCGTTCTTGACATCAAACATTACTAGAGCGGCCCATCTTTTTCTGCTGTTTTTCACAGTGTCTGTAATATGCTTGACCGCATCTATAGCAGATTTTGCTTTCCTGAACCCGTATTGTCTACTTGAGATGATGTCATTTTCTTTTAGCTCTTCTTCAAGGCGGTTCTTAACAATATTCTCATATAGTTTTCCCAGGCAGTCGAGGAGGCATATCGGTCTATAGGATGTGGCTTCTTCCGGGTCTTTATCGGGTTTGAGTATTAGAGTTAGTCTTGCGAGCTTGAGCTGGTTAGAGAACTCTTGTCTTGTCAGCAGCTGGTTCAACATGGCTCTGGTAGCTTCTGGTTGTGTTTTAACTATCAGTTTTATCGCCTCTGGTGGGACACGATCGGGTCCAGGGGACTTACCTACTTTAATGGACTCTGCAGCTTTGATGAGTTCCGCATTACTTATCTCCTCCGGACACATATGTGTATTGTACGTATGTTCAATGCTGGGCTTGTTGGGAAAGAGGGTGTTCGCTATGTCTCTTCTTCTATCATCGCACAGGTTGTATGGGGTCTCGAACCTTAGCGTTTTGGTGGCTATTCGATAGGCTTCGCCCCACACGTCATTTTCTAGCGCCTCACACAGGTCCTGCCAACATGTACGCTTTGCCCTCTTTATGAGTTTGTTTAATTCGTTCTTGGCGAATTTATATTCTTCTTTCGTCTGCTGAGTCCTGGTTCTCTGTGCGATTCGCCTGGATTTAAGGCATTCTGTCCGTTTTGACTGAATTTCGTCATTCCACCAGTAGGGTACGGTGTATGAGGCGGTTTTGCTCCTGCTGCTTAATTTGTATGCCCTAGTAATGGAATTCCTGAAGGTGGAAAAGTCAGTAGTTTGTTCCTGTAGATTGCTAATCGTCTCCACAAATCTTGCTTTGTTGAAGTCAAGTACCTTTCTGCCATTCTTTTTTGTTACCTTTGTGCCAATCTCGAAGACGATGTACTTATGGAACGTAAAGATGTTATCATCTAGAACGTCCCAATTCATTATCTTGTTGGCATAGTTTTTGGATGCCAGGGTAACATCTATGTGGCTCCGCGATTCACCTCTTTCGAACGTGTGTTTCCCATTATTCATCACTACCATATCAGTAGACGCAATCCATTCGTTCCATATATTACCTTTGACGTCATTTCTTGGGGACCCCCACCATATCGATTTGGCGTTTATGTCGCCAGCAATTATATAATTCTTCTCTGTTAGTGCCGCCTCTATGATTTTTTCGACCTTCTCTTCATATTGTGTCATGTTGATGTTTGGTGATATATAGCACGCTACAATAGCTACATCATTGAGTTTTATCTTAATGAAGCTTTCTTTCTTGGTGATTTTGCTTATGGATAGGTTCTTGTTCACCAAGAGGATGGCGACGTCAGCCCTCTTGTCGGCGACCCAGCCAAACTTTTTAGAAATATTTTTATTAGGTTCAGGAACTATAATGAGATCTGCTTTTATTTCCAGGGCTTTGGCGTGAATTAGATCGTGTCCCACCTTGGCTCTTCCGATGTTAACTTGTAATATTTTGAGAGTCTTCGCACCGGTCGCGGTCGAAGCCATCTTAGTCGGTGGTGAGAGACTTTAGCTTTTCTAGACTACTATCTAGGGTGTTTTTCTCTACATCCCACGGGAAGGAGGGTGTAGTGGTTACATCAGATTCCTCATTCTGGGGAGGGAGAGATGAACGACTGAGCCGTTCGGCCTGCTGCAAGTGTTTGGCCGCCACGCTGTCGCACATGGAGCCAAACTGTTCCATAAGGGTGGAGTGGATAGCTCCATGAAAGACCTCGTCGTCGGCTTTCTCGACCTCTTCATATGACGGCCCTGGGACCTCAACCTTTAACTTGTCAGTTTTCTCTGAGCCCATGTCCATTTCAGTCGGGGTGGGGGTAGCGGAAGGGATATCTATTGTAGGAGTAGGTGGCTGGTATGCCTGTGGGGGGGGAGTCTCCAGCGACTTTGTTTGGTCCGCCAATCGAGCTCTCTGGAGAGCCGACCTGAACTCCTTACATTTGCCACTGCCAATACGGTGCGGATCTTCGCAGATTGCGCACCAATCTGCCTCATTGCAAGATTCGAAGGTGTGACCCTTCTTTCCACACTTCGGGCAGGATCCCGTACGGTCAGGACCGTCGCACTTGCTCACATCATGTGTATATGACCAGCATCTCTGGCACCTCCTGATGCTATACCTCCTTTCCACCTCGCATCTCACTAGGCCGACCTTCAGGTTTCCCCTATCAATGATTCGCCTTGCCGCTTCCGCGGAAAGGACGACCGTCGCTGCCAAGGTGTTATTCCGCATGGGACGCAGCTGTTTGATGGAGTAGCTAGGTTCCCATTTACCCAGCTCCCTTGTAAGAGCCACTTTGAGGTGTTCTTTATTCGTGTTCGAGGTCATCCCTCTAACGTGGATGACTGCCTGCCTCTCCTGGCCTATCAATTTGGCCGATACACCGCTATCCTTAATAATAGCCTTTTTGATCATCGAGGCTGCGTCCTGATCCTTGTCGATTGTAATGAGTAGGTTACCATCACGGGTGCTTCTAAGGCTAAGAACAGCCTCCTTTGCCTCGCAGTTTGATACGGCTTCCTCTACTCCAGTCAGCAGCTGGGAGTAGGTCGTGTCCTTCTTAGACACAATAAATCCATACGTCGGCCTTTCCCGTTTGGTGGCTGTAGTGTATATCGAGACGGAGACACGGGTAGTTTTCCGGAAGATAACTTCCGCCATCTTCCTCATATTAGCCACCGGCATGTAGCTGACATGGTGCAGGGCCACAGTGTCATTTTCTTGCGTTTCCTCCTTGACGCGCTCGAGTGCGTGCCAGAGCTCTTCCGGTGTACCGGCTGTGACCTTAATCACTTTGTGGGATTTTGTTTTTTTTTTCCGTCACCTTCCCGGATGGTGATTGAATTTTCCATTACCTCGAAGTCCCCTTTAAGTGACGATAGATCGGGGTATCGGTCTCTATAAAGTCTTTGAATACTAAAGTTCATATTTCTGTCGTTGGGCTCCAGAGCTACCACCTTTACGCGGCACTTAGAGTCCAACGGGTTTGAGACCTCCATGGTCGTTTTTTGATATAACCTCTCAGGCCACTCAAAGCGAGCGTGCCTCTGGAAGTCTGCAAAGGTGTTGACGCCTTCTAGGCTCACCTTGGTCCTCGCGGGAGGTCCGTGACAGGCATCGGTCTGCGTGCCGCAATCCGTCATGGTGGGTCTCGGCACAATAGGGCCTTCGGCACACGGAAGGTCACATTGGACGTCTGAGTCCACAGTTAGTTTTTCGATAGGCTCAATAGCATGACTATGCAACCATTCGCGGATGTGCTCCATACGATGGGGTGCATGCCGCTTGTGGAGCTGCCTATGAAGTTCCTTTAAAGGTCTTGCCGTATTTGGGTACTCCTGTGTTAAGGAAGTAAGCCGCTCTATTTGTTTTGTCATATCATCTATGTAGTCGAGTATCTCCATTGCTTGACTGCACGGTCTCTTTTTGTATACTTCGGAGATCGACTTAACGTACGAGGCTTTTCTCTTTAGATTATGGTCGTCAGGAAGAGAATTTGTTCTCATCCTGGCTGTGTCTAGTTTTCTTCCTGGATTGCCGCCCAGGTCGCCCGCGGTTTCTTTAGAGAATTTATTAAGCATTTAAATCCCACGAGTAGCTAGGGAATAAAAAGGTCCTCCATCACAGAGCCCCGCATGTGGTGGTAAGGCTGCTTACAACGGGGTTTCGCCATACTCCCCGAGGGAACCGTTTGTGACCCCGTGTCGTGTGGTCATTCATCCTTCAGCACGGTTTCTAACACCTTGGATTACGGATTTTTTCCCGCTGGTTTACTCCGTCGGATTTTGGCCTAGGTTTTCTCCTGAGGATGTTGGTCGGGGAAGGAGGGGATCATACTGGCTGTACTCGAAGTATTTGTGGAAGAAAAAACGGCCGTCGAAGATGTGGTCGTAGACCATGTTTTGACTGGGATGGTGCTACAAACTAAGGGGGTAGCAGTGAAAGCGCTAAGTCCTTCAAGTTCGTCGGGATGCGGCACAGCCAGATGTAAGGGATGGAAGGCGTCGCAATTGGGTCTATTGCGGCCCCTATTAGCGTCCAGCGGCGGTGTCCGGCGCTCACCCGGTGCACAGGCGCTGGACGCTTGGTACTGTTCTTGGTTTCACTGGTCGTGCTCCCCTCACATTCTCAGGGACCACGACCGGTTACTCGGCCCTCCCACCATCGTCGAGGTAAAATTGCAGTACCGGGAGGGTTCTTGATGTAGCTGTCTAGTCCTCCATCGACTATGGACGTGTGGCTGTACATCAAACAGTGAAACATGAGTCTCTCCATCGTGATGAGTCTCTCCAGTGTCACAAATCGCACTGTTATTACTTCCCGAACGATCGCACTCCCGTAAGCCGACTTTAGTTCGCATTAGTACTTTTTACGCGTAATTCAAATGCACCTTAACCTATAAATACATGTATAGCTGCTTATTGCAGACAATTTTAGTGATAGCTTTACCTACATCTGACTTATAAACTAACCTACATTGTATTGCATATTATTGTGCCTAATGACTATAAATTGATAAATAAATTGATATCTAAACCAATATTAATATGTTAATAATTGAGACTTGTACTTTTTAAATATTTACAATATAATATATCATCTTTCTGTTATATATACACCCTGTATATTAGAGTCATATATTTTTAATTCTCAACTTGTCATCACTTATTGTTTATAGTTACGTATGTGTAACGAATTTTCCTTATTTGAAGAATGTTTTTAGTTAAACTATTTTCAAGCGTATTTCTTAAAATTCAAAATTATTCCTTAACTCTTTCTCAAAATTTCAAAATAATTCAAAGATAGAATTTATCTTTCTCATCAAACACGTTTTCAGTGTTATGATATTTATGTTTCAAGGCTAGTTAATAATATTTTGCTGAGAGCTGAATTTTTATATCCTCACATTGTTAATGAAATTTGATATTGACTGATGTTATGAACTCTTGGTGTCTGTTATAAACTACAATATTTTGTTTTTATTTAATTAAAAAACGTTTTGTACACTTGACCTTTATTAGTTGTTTATTTACCAGTGCTCTGACTCACTTTTTGTACTACTTTCTTAGTTGATAGGAATTCAAGTCTGTCAATCAGTTTTGACATAGCAATAAAGGATTGGCGTAGGGTATCTTACCGATCCAGTTCTTACTAATCAACAGCAGCTTAGACCCCTATTAACTTTAAATTAATTTACTTATTTCTATTTCTTAAAACTTGCTTTTAGTTATGATGTACTATTATGTTTTCAAAAAAATTTGTTTTCATTAAACTGTGCTAATATTTAACTATGAATGCTTATATTACCTGTGTTTTGTCCTTCGTTCCTTGTTAAAATTTTAGTATTATTCGAGCGGCCGTCTCTTGTAATACCAAGCTTTCAACTTTTCTTATAGTTGTTTTGATATTTTTTTCTATTCATCTATTGCGTCGAAAAACATGTCTGTGTCCTCATCGCTCTGTGTTATTATTGCTGTCTCATTCTTGTTTATTATTCTGTTGTATGTATTCCATCCTTTCTGTTTCGTTTTGTGGAATATGCCGCAACATTTTCTTTCGGGCATCTTGCCTAGTCTATTCTTTATTCGTTCTGATCTTTTTGGTTGGCTGGTGTCTTCCTGACTTCCTTTTTTTCTTCTCTGCGGTTTGCTAATTGGGGTTCCTGGTTCCCATAATGGCAGTGTTGCCACCTTAGACGGGTCAACTCTTTCTTCTTCCGTCTCTTCTTGTTCTGGTTCTCCTATTTCTTCTTCTTCCTCTGTGGAGTATTCCATTTTTTCATTCTCGTAATATTTCTTTAACCTGTTGACGTGCACTACCTGTCTATTTTTTCCCTTTTTGTACTTACTGCATACGTCACTGGTCCAACTTTTTCTATAATTTGAAATGGTATGGCTAGTACCATTTTTTTTCTGTAACTTATTTGAAAGACTTGTCGTGCTACTTAAGTCTCTCAGATATACCTTGTCTCCTTCTTTGAATTCTCTCAGATTCAAATTTTATATATTTATATTCTCCTGTGTTTTTCTATACACTATTTTCATTTTTCATCCATGTCCGTGTCCATGGGTTTCCGATTGAGTGCTTGTGCCCCTGGCAGTCGTCGCATCTCTTCACATTTCACATATTTCTCAATACTTCTTCATAATTCGTTCTAGAAATAATATTTTCTTATATTTCTATACTATACATATATCCTATTTATTCTTCCATATCCTTCCTGTAACATGTGGAAGGTATTAATTATAACTCTTCTTTTACTTATTCACATATTTCTCAATACTTCTTCATAATTCCAGATTCGTTTCGCATTTTTATTACATCCTGTAGATACTGTATTGTCGTGCTGGAGCCGCGGGACTCTTAGCGGGTTGGGATTCCAGTACCACCCTAGATTATCCCCTTAGCAGCCTCCTACTTGACGTAAGTTTCACCCCTTAAGGTCGAACCATATACAGCTTGCCCACATTCCTGTAAAAAAATATACCTCTGGCACTGTATTCATCTTCGCATGCTATGTGAGATTCGCCTCTATTTCTGTGGCATCCCACCTGTGTCCTCTGATTATTCTTTCTTCTTTATGGTTCTGCTTCTTTGTCTCAAGCAAAGAAACTGGCTTAAACTCTTCTACATTCAGAGTACCTTCTTCGTCCAAAGTTTTTTTTAATGTTACTTTAAACGATAGTAACTACTATAACTTTTCCGTCTCCAGCGACTCCTTGCCTTTGCAACGATTCAGTGCTTCAGTGAAGGCCCTTAGGTCTTCCTGTCAAATTTGCACTTTTCCCTGGTACATAAACTGTAGCAAAGTTACTTTAAATGATAGTAACTATTATACTTTTTTCCGTCTCCAGCGAGTCCTTGCCTTTGCAACGATTCGGCCGCTTCAGTGAAGGCCCTAAGGTCTTCCTGTCCAATTTGCACTTTTCCCTGGTACATAAACTACAGCAAGCCTCCTAGTGTCTCGCAAGTTACGTTTGTCAAAATCACTATAGGACGTTGACAACGATTCGACTCAAATTTTCTTTAAATATGGGCCACAGCCCAAAGAACCACTTTACGTGCTTCTATGCATTTTCCTTGCGATGCAAGCTCCACGTCTACTAAATCTTGACTGTTCCATAATGGATCCATTCCCGAACTCATATGTTCGTGGAAATCATTCCAAAATAGTGAAAAAGATTTTCTGACGCCACATCCCATTTAAATTTTCTTTAAATATGGGCCACAGCCCAAAGAACCACATTACGTGCTTCTATGCATTTTCCATGCGGTGCAAGCTCTACGTCTACTAAATCTTGACTCTTCCATAATGAATCCATTCCCGAACTCATATGTTCGTGGAAATCATTCCAAAATAGTGAAAAAGATTTTCTGACGCCACATCCCATTTAAATTTTCCTTAAATATGGGCCACAGCCCAAAGAACCACTTTACGTGCTTCTATGCATTTTCCTTGCGATGCATCCATTTCCGAACTCATATGTTCGTGGAAATCATTCCAAAATAGTGAAAAAGATTTTCTGACGCCACGGTCAATTATCTTCCAAAGCTCCATTAAATTCTTTTCCCTTTTTGTTTATATGTTTATCTCCGTATGATGTGCCAATTTATGAAGTTAACCAACAATTGTATAAAGAATTAAATTTTTGTTGAAATAAAAGAACTTAGAAATATACGCTGCCGAAGTTATAAAACAAATCTGTATAAAACAAATCTGTATAAAATATTAAATAATCAAATCAAATAATAATCGATAAATCAATCAATACTCAGATATCAACTAAGGTGTTAGTATTTATTTTCTTTTTTTTTTTTGAAAAATTAAGCTCTATTAAATTCTTTTCCTTTTTACAAATCAAACGTTATTTATAAATCCAAATATCCCAATTTACTCTAATTAATTAGTTAACCAAAGTCGTATCTAATTTCTCAATGTATATTACTTGACCAAGCGTGTTTATATAAATAGAAATATTTTTCAAACGCAAATCATATTTCACTTTCACTTGTTACATTAAACAAAAGAATTTGATATTATGTAAACAGTTAGTAACGTAATAATCCAAGAAATAATATTCTGCACTTTTTTTTTAAAGTAATGAAATTGTACACTCAAATGAACTTGATCTTGACCTACTCACTTAAATTCTGTACTTTTAACTACTAAGTAACAATGTAATAATTATTTCTTCAAATAATTAAATTCAAATCTTATATTCTGTTAGACAGTATAGTTTATATTTTTAGTGCAATATTATGGCAATTTACGAAGTTAAAAAAAAACAATTATATTGAGAACATCATATAATGTGTTAGTATGTATTTTTGAAAAAAATTGTACATGTCATCTCTTCACATATATCATAAAAGCAATTCACCTACGTTAATTTAGGATTCTAGGTCTCAGGAAGGAATTGATATGCGGAAATTTTCTAGTGATACAAGAAAGAAAAAAAATCTACTATATACGAATAATTTGTGTAAAACCCCTAACAAGTTTATATACTTTTTTTTGTACTAAATGGA